CCCCTGGTGGTGAGTGAACATCATAGCAAGCTGTGGAGCAGCCTTAGCATATCATTAGCATATTATGCTTTGATTGGTTGAACACACAACCGGACAACCAGACTCAGCATATTAGGCTTTTATTATATAGGGCTAGAGGCCCGGTGCACAAAAATTTGTGCACTCGGGGGGAGTCCCTCAGCCCGGCCTGTACCCTCTCACAGTCTGGGACCCCTTGGGGGATGACCACCTGCTGGTTTAGGCTGGCTCCCTGGGGGGATTGGGCCTAAGCTGGCAGTCAGACATCCCTCTGGCAGCCCAGGAGCCCTTGGGGGATGTCCACTTGCCAGCAGGGAACGGGCCTAAGCTGCAGTTGGACATCCTTAGCGCTGCTGAGGAGGCGGAAGAGGCTCCCACCACCACTGCTGTACTGGCAGCTGTCAGCCTGACTTGTGGCTGAGCAAAGCTCCCCCTGTGGGAGTGCACTGACCACCAGGGGGCAGCTCCTGCATTGAGCGTCTGCCCCCTGGTGGTCAGTGTGTGTCATAGTGACCAGTCATTCCCAGTCGTTCTGCTGTTAGGGTCAATTTGCATATTACCCTTTTGTTATATAGGAGTGCCTAGCCAGCCTGGGTGAGGGGCTGATGGCTGTTTGCAGGCTGGCCACAGCCCCTTCAGGGTGGGGGCTCCTGCTGGGTGTGCCTGGCCAGTCTGGGTGAGGGGCTGAGGGCCGTTTTCAGGCTGGCTAAGCCCCCCAGCAGGGACCCTCACCCCATGAGGGTGTGGCCAGCCTGGGTGAGGGGCTGATGGCTGTTTGCAGGCTGGCCACAGCTCCCAGCCACCCAAGCTCCCAGTGGAGGCTGGCTGGAAGCAGGCATCTGGGATTTATTTGTCTTCTATAATTCAAACTTTGTTGCCATGAGTGGAGGCCATAGCCGGCTCAGGGCTGGCAGGAAGCTTGGCTTCCTCCATCGCCCAGGCAACCAAGCCTCCTGCTTGCTCCAGCTCTGTGGCTGCCGGCCGCCATCTTGGTTGGGTTAATTTTCATATAGTTGCTCTGATTGGCTGGTGGGCATGGCTTAGGGCATAGCAAAGGTACAGTCAATTAGCATCTTTGTCTTTTATTAGTGTAGATAATCCACTGTTAATGTATGCCATGAGCAAGGGATAATAGTTGTATGCTGATGAAGACATGGGGTTTGGGGTAAGGGGTGGAGGTAGAAGAGGGTATAGGGAGGATAAATGGTGATGGGGGGAAAAAAGACATGGGGTTGTCTGCAGTGTGGAGTTATAAAGGCTGCATGCAAACCTTTGGGATTGGAAGGATGGGTAAAGTGAAGAGAACTATATTGTCTCTTCTAAACAGCCTGGTTTTAACCCAATCTAAGATTCATTTAGTAGCTGAATTTAACCCTTTACATTTATTGTAATTCCTGTTTGTATTTATTTCCTCTACCTTAGTTTTTGTGTCCCAATTCATATTTTCTTTTTTGTCCCATTTCCACTTTGGGCTGATCCAGTGCTGCTTGGGGAACTATTATTTATTGAGCACCTACAGGCTGCTAGGGGCTTTGTAGTTGATTTTCTTTATTCTCACAACAAGCTTAGTATATTATATATCCTAATTTTATAGATGAGAATGGAAACTCAGAGGTTAAATTAAGTGTCTTTCCTAAAGTCACAGTTTATAAAAGGCCTCATGAATGAAATCACAGAAAGGTGGGTGGAAAGTTGGGCTCCCTGTTTGCCTAAATGGTCATTGGCTGAACCCCTGTTCTTGTCTGGAATATTAAAGCAAAATAACCTACCTGGGATTGGTAACTGGAAACTGCTCTAAGGGTCATCTACTGGATGGAAGCCCAATAGGAATGGCTGATACCTGACCCCAGCCTGCTCAAATCTCAAGCTGGAGGTAGAAGGCAGGCACACAAACAGCTTTGCCATCTCCTGGTACGTCTTTTTATCTGCCCAGCTTTAGAGTTTAGTGCCTGGCAGCAGTAGGAGAAAGACAGCAGGAAAGAGGTGATACTTGAAATCAATTTTGATAGAAATGAAGACTTAACAGAAGGGACTGAAAGCAAGTGTATTCCAGGCAGCAGCAGACTGGCTTAAGCAAGAAAAGAGTGAGAGGGTAGGAGAGAAAGAGTTTTTTGGCTGCACAGATTCCTGAAATGTCCTTTCTTGATTGAATATTCCATACTTGTGTCTTGTTCATTTTTGTATTCTCAGTCTTTGGCTATGAGGTGATATTACTCCTATGCTAGTAATGAGGACAGGTTCAGAGAGGCCAAGTGGCTGACCCTAAATTATATAGTAAGTTATATGCACACCTGATATAATTGCTGTAAGTAATTTACAAACTTTGGTAGTTAAATGGTAGTTATTAGTGACAAATGACATGGGACCCACTTAGCTGATCATGACATCAGTGGTCAAAACAGACCTAAGAGTCACTACTATGCCCACTGCTATTTCTTGTACACTTAATTGTGTGCTAGAACTTGTGCTAAGTAAGAACTTAGCTATTCTTCATGATAACCTTGTAGGGACTTGAATTCATGTTTTACAAATCAAGAAACTAAGGCTCTGAGAGATACCACGAGAGTTGGTTTTGTACTAGGTAGGGCTCTTAACCCCAAATCCAAGCTCTTTCCACACCCACAGGCCCTGGTTTAGGAGGAAGGGAGCCTGGTTTCAGACCCTCCAACACTTGGAGCAGTAACTCTGGAACTGTAACCCAGGTACCCTAAAGGCAAGACTGCCACCAATGAGTGCTGCCCACAGTGCCTTTAGCCACTCTACCATGGTAATCTTTGGGACAATGACCTCTCAGTAGAAAAGAGGCCACTGTTCATCTGAGCCAGAGAGGTTAAATGCCTTATTTGCACCACAGCCATGTTGCCTCCTCCAACGGGCCCAGCTCGTGTGCAAGCACACTCCGTTCCCTCAAGTCTGTCTCCTCCCAGACACACGAACTGCCTTTCCAGATGTTCCCATCTGTGAGATCCCATGTAGTCCCCCCACTTCTGGTCCCCTACGGATTCTGGTTTATTACCCAGACTTTTTCCCCCTTTCCTTTTTTGGAGATGTCCTGCCAGTCTGGTCTTAGCCTTAACTCTGATCTCAGGTCTGCTAATCTGTCACATGGGTAACACTGACCAGGCGCTCATAATGAGAGATGATGTGTCTCCTAAGCCCCTTACCCTGACTCCTGATGTCTGGGCTCTGCCATCAAAGCTTCCTGGGGAAAGAAGGAATTGGCCAAGGGTCCTGTACTATCTAGCCTGGCCATGGCTGTTTTTGTTTTCTCAGGAAAGGGAACCATTCCTAACAACTGTTTTAGCCTCTACCAGGGCCTATGGTCATGGTCCACTGGACCATAAGTTCTGTAAGGAGAGGATACATATTGGACTCTTTCGCAGTATTCACAGCACCTGGCACATTGTAGGTGCTCAGCACACATTTGCTGAATGAATAAATGGGTTCGTCTTCCATGCAGTTGTTTGGACTCAGCAGCTAAGTGGTTTGTTTGTCTTTTAATCACTAACGGACTGGTTCGTTGGCTTTGCATCTCGGGCCTCACCCCTGGGAGCCAAATGGTGCCTGGTTGGTGAGCAACGTCTGGAAAACACAGGAGTAGTGGCTGCAATATGTTCCTAATATTCTCATTAATGATGGCATTTATCAGTAGCAGCTGTGGTACAAGGTACAAAAGGTTCTTGTCCTATGGTCTTGCAGCCTAAGTGATAGTAAACAAAACAAGCAATTGGAACCCCGCGCCCCCCCCCCCCCCATATTTCTTATTAAGGCACAAGAAGCATCACTACCTCAAATTTATAACAAGAACATCAGGAATAATGGCAGGAGCTTCCCAATTTATACACAGGAAAAGGAAGCCCAGAGAAGCACAGACTTGTCCAGAGTGCAGAATTGTGTTACTAGCTGAGCCTGGAGCACCCATCTTTTTCCTTGTACTCTATCCAGGTGGTTCCCGCTCTATCTGGTCCAGGTTCTGAAGTTTGCCTCCTATTGCATACTGGCTATGTCACTGCAGGCACAGCCTGGGTCTTCAGTTGGAACTAGATCCTTGGAAAGGAGAGAGTTTTAAGGAATTTGGAAGATGGAAGATTGTGAATGGACAACTGGGCCAGGGGAGGTGGCTGTAGTTGTGCTGGCCCTGAGCCCCAGTGTCCTCACCTCTAAGGACAGAGATACATGGTAGCTATCAGGGTTGAGGCAACTGCTTCACATTTTTTCTGCCTCAGCTTCTAGAATCATTCTTGTACAGAGGCTTTTTTAAAATCATCATATGGCCCTGGACGGTATGGCTCGGTTGGACATCATCCCATGCACTGAGAGGTTGCTGGTTCGATTTCTGGTCAGGGCACTTGCCCAGGTTGTGGGCTTAATCCCTGGTCAGAGTGTGCAGGAGGCAGTTGGTCGATGTTCCACTCTGACATAAATTCACCTTATGCCAGTTTGCAACTTCCTGTTTCTTGCTTGTAGTGATTCCTTGAGGAAGGGCTCCAGCTGCTGGGGTGCACTGACAAGTGGTGTCCCTGCTCCTGCAGCTCTTGCGCCACAAGGTGCTGGGAGTTTCTTTGTGACCCCTGACTTTGGCTGGGATCAAAGACCTCCTTCCCACCTCAATCTCCTTTCTCCCCAAAGCAGTATCCCAGGCATTCCTCTTCCCAGGCCCGTCCAAAGATATGCTGCACTTAGCTTCTCACAGACTCAGATAATTTCTAAGAATGAAATTTCAGACAACAGCTTGGGACATTTTAAGCGACAGTCCCCAATAATCCAGGACAAAGGTTGCTACCTACTCACTGTTGACCTTAAAAGTAAAAGTTATTTTACCTGGCTGGGTATCTCAGTTGGTTAGAGCATATCCCGAAATGCCGAGGTTGCGGATTCAATCCCTTCTCTGGGACATCAAACGAGTGGTACAACGAACCAATGTATCTCTCCCTTCTGTCTCCAAAGTCAGTAATTTTTTTAAAAGTTATTTTATCAGCAAAAATGAGTTTATTTGGGAACAGCAGTGTTGCAAATCAGGGCAAGCAAACTATAACAAAAGCCATAGAATGAAGGAAAGGAACCGTATTTTATGGAGAAAAAGGGATTTGGGATAGGTTTTGAACAAAGGTCCATTGGAGAAAAGTGATTTCGGGGAGGTGACGGTTTCTCATTGGCAGAGCTGCTAGGGTAGTTGATTTCTTGTAGGAGATGCAATGAACATCTTTTCCTGTTGGGGCCTGTAATTGACAACTCTTCCTGTAGTTGCCATGGAGTGTTAGAGCTTCCCTTTCTGGCCTCTGGACTCCCATTTTAGTGGTTTCTTTTTATTTTCAAATCACCAAGCTCACTGCCTGCTTCCTGGCTGACAGTGAGGTGTGAGTGAGGAAGGAGTCCTGAACCCCTGCTTTTTACTTGGAGCCCCAACTAAAGGTTGTCAGGGTTAATGCCTGGGGACCAATGGTCAGTATTTATTTAGCTTGGCAGTGGGAGAAACTCCTCTCAGTCCCCTGCACCTCTGGAAATCCTGGGGAAAAAGGGAGGAGTGGGCACAAGTGGCACCTTTGTTTGGAAGTCTCCTAAGGCATAGCCTTCTGGCTGTAGGGACCCATGGCATCGCCCAGTCACAAGCAGCCATCCCAGGTTTATCAGCAGATCCCCCCAGGACAGACAAACCAGTGAGATTGTGTATGGAGTTGTACCTTCCTTGTTTTTCTCGGGGGCGGGGGGTAGGGGGAGCTCCTTAGAAGGGGAAAGACTGAATGGTAGATCCTTAATGTTTCCTTTCTGTCTGGTGGTCTGCATTCCCTGGATGTGGAGGCATCTTCGGGTGTTCTCAGGTTTAAAGGTAGGGGGCAGCACTGTCTCCAGCTGACCTGGAGAAACGCTTAAGAGGAGTATAGCTTTAGGGCCGGGATGATCGGGTTTCCCCCCAGACCACGGAAATAGTGCGTGCGCAGCCTGCCGTACTTTCGATGTAAAGCGGACTCCTCGAAGGGAAAAGGATCTTTCTGGCGGGAAGAGACTGGACAAAAATCGTGCACCTATGGATGAGGACAGTGGGTGGGGAGTGAGGGCGAAGGGTGGGGCGGGAACTGGGAGGAGGGGAGTTATGGGGGGGAAAAAAGAGGAACAAATGTAATAATCTGAACAATAAAGATTTAATTAAAAAAACAAACGAGAAAAAAAAAAACAGCCACACACTTTCAGTCGGCCTGCACGAACTATTTGGGTTTTAGCCCAGCCCAAGCTACGTGCCCTTGAAGTCCCGCCTGCTAAAAGCTACGCCCAACCTCAGTAGCCACGCCCGCGCCCGCGCCCAGTCCTAAGAAGCCACATCTTAGTAGAGATCACCAGCCCTTCAGGGACCCCAGGGTCGAGGGGGAGTTCCTACCTGGAAGCCCCGCCCCGCTGGCAGCCGGGAGCGGCGCTCAGCAGTTGGGAGTGAGCACTCGGCAGGAACAGGTGCTGCGGAAGAAGCGGCACATGCAGGAGGCGCACGGGTCACAGCAGGGGGGCGCCGGCTGTTTGCAGCTCTCGCGGGTGGCTACGCAGGGATCGGGTGGCGGGGGCCGGATCCGCGTCACCTTCTTAATCGAAGCCTTTCTCTGCTGGGAAATGCCGGGGCTGTCCAATCGCCCACTCCTGCCCCACCCGACCTCACCTCTGCCTGGGAATCTTTGGGCTATGGAGGCCACGGACCCGGACCCGACATCCCCACCCACTGCCCACCACCTGCTCGACTCACCCCAGGGGGCCCCGGCCTGCTCCCTAATCATGTCCCGCCGCCTCCATCCTCAGCAAAACTGACATGGCCCAGCCTGGCCCTCTTCGCTCCCTCAGGGACCCCACTCAACTCCACCGTTTTTAACTTCTTCTCCCTTTCTGTCCTCTCAGTTCTGCCTTCACAATAAATCCTGACTCTACCCACTTCTTCACCTCCGCTACCCTGGGCCAGGCCACTGTGTTCTGTGCTGCCCTGGGCGCCTTACAGTCCATCCTCCAGTGCTCCAAAGAAACCTCTCCGAAAACCTATGATGGCATCCCACTCTGGTTTAAAGCCCCCCAATGGTTTTTCCTTGCACTTGCAATAAAACATAAACTTTACTTTGACCCTGAGGCCCTGTGTGCGCCCACCCCTCCCCTTAACGCCTTCACCACACTGCCCCACTGGCCTTCCTTCTGTGCACCAAACGAAAAAGTGTTACTACCGCAGTGTCTTTGAGCTGGATACTCCCTTTCCTGTGTCTCTAGTAAAACTGAAAAACTGAATTTTCAAATTTTATCCAATTTAGCCCTGGCTCATGTGGCTCAGTGGGCTGGGCGTTGTCCTATGCACTGAAAAGTTGCCCCTTCTATTCCTGGTTGGGCACATGCCTGGGTTTTGGCTCCATCAGATGGTAAGGTAGCCAATCTCACATAAATGTTTCTCTCTTTTGCTCTCCCTCTAAAAAAAATCAATAAAGATCTTCAAAATTTTTCATTTAATTTAAAACTGAAGTAGTGTAAAAATTTTTTGATAAACACTTTATTGTTTTTTAGGATTACGTTGACTTTGTTAAAAATTAACATCTGAATTAAGATGTGGCCCAGCCAGTGTGGCTCAGTAACCACTGAGCACTGAACTATAAACCAGGAGGTCATGGTTGGAGTCCCAGTCAGGGCACATGCCCAGGTTGTGGGCTCCATCCCCAGTAGGGGTCATGTAGGAGGCAGCTGATTGATGATTCTCTCTCATCATTGATGTTTCTATCTCTCTTCCTCTCCCTTCCTCTCTGAAATCAAAAAGAAAAGAAAATAATATTTTGGACATATTGGGTTAAATACAATATTAAAGTTAATTACATGTGTTTCCTTTTACTTTTAAAAAATGTGGCTGTTATAACATTTAAAATTATATATGTGGTTCCCATTGTATTTGTACTGGGTGTTGCTGCTTGAGATGACTGAATTTTTCAGTCTGATATTTAAATGCTTCCTTGCAGAGGTTTTCCTTTCTATCTCATTACCATGCTTTAATTCCTTCAGTGTTTATCATATTAAGAATTTATTTCACCTATTTATTGGTTTACTTGCTGTTTGCCTGTTTTCCCCACAAGAATGTAAACTCTATGAAAGCAGGGATCTATCTCCTTGTTCACTTCCATATTCCCGGTACCTAGCATATAGATATATTTGTCAATTATATACTCTTATCTGTCAATCATTTGATTTGCTTGTTCACTTTACCTAAGGCCCAGAGAGGAGCAGGAACATTCTCAAGATCAGACAGACAGTGCCAGCTCCTACCTCCTAAAACCTAGTCCAGGTTTCCCTGGTCTGGTTACAGATGATCTGATAAAATGAGTGACACTAAGGAATAATGTGTGCATCTCAACAATGCCTTACTCCAGTGTTTCCCAAAGTGTGGGAATCTCTACCATAGTGATATGATTTTAAATGGTGCATGAATATTAAATGATGCTGAATCCCAGTGAGAAAGGATTGTTTATTTTTTATCTTGTTCAACTTGAAAGGCTCAATATGGTCTGGTGCCAGTATGTCCTTAATGCCTCCCCAATACTTTCTAATCTTCCTTTTAACACAGAGAACAAGCTTCAGATTTAGAGCCTTTGGCAGGCAATACCATTTAGCTAGAATCCACCAACGGTGTTTTATTTTCATTTTACTTATTATTATTTTTAAATATATTTTTATTAATTTCAGAGAGGAAGGGAGAAGAAGATACTGCAACATCAATAATGAGAGAATCATCGATTGGCTGCCTCCTGCACATCTCAAGCCTGAAACCCAGGCATGTGCCCTGACCGGGAATTCAACCATGACTTCCTGGTTCATAGGTCAATGCTCAACCACTGAACCATGCTGGCCGGGCTCATTTTACTTATTTTTATAGTTACCTTCTACTTATGACAAAGGATACGAGTTTTCTATCACAGTAATATAATTTATAACATTTTAATTTTAAACGTATTTAATACATAGATGAAACTCAGATGTGGCAAAAGTTGTGGAAATGGTTCTGAAATGACTGAGGTTTAGGAAACTTTGCATTCATCCAAAAGAATAAGTGATGATAAAGTTTCAGGCAGGGGGCTAGCTAGTGTAGGAAGATGCTTTTCACATATACGTTTTTTTTTACTCAGTGAACTTCAGCTCCTGGGGCTTCTGTGAAGGTCTGGTTCAGGACTCAAGGGCAGGAAGCCTTTAGGTAGCTGTCAGCTACTTTTTTTCATGTAGGTCTGAAAAATCATTTAGTTCCCACCCAGAGCTTGGAGGTCCTCTCCTTTTAAGTCCAGTCCCACCCCCACAGTGAGAACTCCCAGGCCTACCTTGGAAGCTCTCTTCTTTTCTGCCTCTTTTCTGCTGATCTTTTTGGACTTTTTGTTTAGCCCTTTAAAGAGAGAAGAGAGCAAAGACAGATGTTTCTGGGGCCCTGAGCTGCAGTGAAGTGGGAAGTGCTGAGGGGGCTCCAGGAAGTCCCAAGGTGGGGGAGAGGATGAGAGGTTGGCTGGATGAATCACATCTTGGTACTTAGGCCATCAGTTTCTCTTTTTGGCCATCAAGTTCTTGTTAGCCTGGCTACTGACCTGGAGCCAGGGACTGAGAGCAAAGTGTCCTCTGAGGGAAGGCAAAGGGGAAATTCCAGAAGGCCCTGTAAAATGGACTCAGTGTCTTACACATGGATGGACCTGGGTTTCCTATAGTCCTGTTTTCCATTTCTCAGAGCTTTGGAGTCAGGCAGACCTGATTTAAATTCAGTCTTTGCAATATAGCATCTGTGTAGTCTTAGCCAACGTACTTATCCTTCTTAAGACTCAGTTTTCTCATCTGCAAACAGGGTACTGTAATACCTACCTTGCAGGGTTGTCTTGAGGATAAATAAGGTATGTTTGTAAAGTGGAAAGTCTGGCACATCGAAGGTGATCAATCAGTGTTGATGTACTTCAACTCCCTTCCCTTGCCTTACTTCAGCTAGAATATCCTCTTTTGCTAGTGAGAGGCAAGGCAGTAAGGGACATTAGTTTTTATTTTAGGTTCTGAAGTTAAACAACTGGGTTTAAATTCTGGCTCTGCCAATTAAGAACTGTGTGATCTTATGTTAGCTATTTAGCTTTCCTAAGACACAATTTCTTCAACTGTGAAATAGGAGTAAAAATAGTACCTCACCTCACAGCGCCTAGCACACAATAAGTACTAGTATGCTTGTTATTATTTTCAGATGGAAATAATAATTTAAAACAGATCTCTAGTACCAGCTGTAATGGCCCTGATACATTCCCTGAGCAGTCATTCTCAACCCTGGCCTGACAGGACTGATTCATCCCAGACTTGGTTATATTCTGCAGGATTTCCTAGTTTGTTACCACTGATAGACGTGCTGTGATTCAATAAGTTTCAGAAATGCTAAGTTAAACTAAGTTCACCAAGTGTCTTAACTCTCCAAGCCTCTAACATGCCAAGCTACATTTTAGGTAGGTTGGTATGCAGGGCTTTCCTAAACCAAATGAGTCAAGGGATGCTTATTCGTCCAGGATTATTTCATGGGGTGAGCAAGAAGGAGCCTTGACCTATGGCAGTGGATCTTGGTATCAGCCTGGGGAGCATGTTTGGCATCCTGAAGTCCCTTCTCAACGGCCAGAACCCAGAAGCTGTTCCCAAGGCCAAGCTACTTACCCATGATAGAGACAGAAGGGGAATCCAACAGGTTCATGGAGGAGTTGCTCCTCAGGCTTCTGTCATTGTTGGGCTTCTCTTCAGGGGCCAGGTGGCTATAAGCAGTGAGGAAGCACAGGCAGACCAGCAGGGTGGCCAGGAGCAGGTGGGTGACATCCATCTGAGGAGGCCTGAGTGGGACAGGGAAGGCAGTCAGGTGATGTGACAAGAGAATGTGCCCTCCTGCTTTCTTTGTTTCTGTGGGCTGGTGCTCTGACCCGGTTCCACAAGTGTCCCAGGGGAACTGGAGGACCAGCAAGGCTGAAGACAGGGAAGGGGAACGGATAAGGCTCATAAGACTCGATGAGAAAGATGCAGGGATAAACGGCTCCTTCAGACAAGTGTATGTCGTCGCATAAACTATATTCCCACACACCGAGGGAATGAATGCAGATGTGGTTTGAGTCAGGAGAATGGACCAATGCACATAGGCTAACTGGATTTGTTGATTTATTGATCTATCACTAGCTGGATTATGATGAAGCAGACGGATCCCAGAGTGGATTTCTTCCCTCGTTAGTGCGGGTTTGTCTCAATGAGGGCTTTAGCAGCATCTTCATATTCTCTAAATGCAGCATCTCCACCCAGGCCCTCCCTGGGCATATTCTCTGTGGTCTGGGAAGAAGCTGAGGCTGCTTTTCTAAGGTTCTGTCTGCCCTGCCATAAGGCTCTGTGGGTGAGAAGAGAATGTCTGTTCTTGCTGGTCCCGCCCATTCCTTGACTCCATACAGCAGCCTAGCCAATGTCTAACCTATTCCTCCCAGCCTTCAGCTTGGTTGAAGTAAAATTTTCTTTATGTCTGTTATATTCCAGGAGTAGGGGATCCAAACAGTCAGCCCTCACCCTCATTATAAACTCCTTGAAGTCCATCCTCTCCTCCTCTCAGCCCTAATGACATGCCTCCTGATTTCTTTAGATTCCTTCATCATCGGGCATTTGCCCATCATGAACTGACCACCATTTTTCTTCTCAAAACCTGGTAGGGAGTCAATGAAATGAACACTGGGCTGGGAGTCAGGAGCTTTGAGTTCTTGTCTTGATTTAAGCATTAGTAAGATGCATGACTGGATAAATCCATTCTTTTTTATAGATTCTAAGTTCCTTGTTGATAAAATGAGAGGAGTGGACTAGGTCAGTGGTTTGCATTATTTAGCAGGGGAACTCTTTCTTCAAGTAAATGCTGACTTGCAGAATACTCAAATGTAAAACAGAAAGAGGCAATAAAGAAGTTTCTTAAGCAGCTCACATCTGTGTTGTGTGGTGGGTCAACAAATCTCATGCCCTAAAGCCTAAAACATCTCTTCAGGCCCTCAGGTTCTTACCTCATGCAATTTGATCTCTGAGGTTCTACCTCATATCAGCAATAGTTAAACAAAACAAACCTGTATCAAAAACCTGTATCAAAAACAAACCAGTCCTGGCCAGTTGCTCAGTGTTTAGCCCACAGACTGAAGGGTTGCAGTCAAGGGCATGTACTAGGTTGCAGGCTCGATTCCTGGCCCTGGTTGGGGTGTGTACAGGAGGTAACCAATTGACATGTCTCGTATCGGTGCTTCTCTGTCTCTCCCCTTCCCTTCCACCCTCTCTAAAAATCAATGGAGATTTTCCCTTGGGTAAGGATTAACAACAACAACAAAAGGTTCCTTTGCTATATAAGCAACAATAAGTAATAAACTTAAAATACAATTTATTAGAACCCAAATAACTTAGTGGAACTATAAAACTACACTGAGTCTGGAAAGGGTGAAGTCTCAGTGGAATTAATCTTCTTTGTATTGGGAGAGGGCTAAAAATCAGTATACCTTGCATCAATCCTGGGGAGGATATGTATATTCTAAATGTAATATAGGTCCATAATACCTGGTTGTATTATAATCCTTGGAGTCAGATTTTTTTTTTAATTTAGAATTTTGTGGATTGTGACAAAACAATATCTATATACTTTATTAAACCCCATTATAAGGGGCCTGGGAGCATCCATGATAAAAATATTGATGCTTCTGTAGCAAAAAGATGTGACTATTCATAACAAACAAAGACTGTGAATTGATTCACATACTCAGGTCAGGTTTGTTGCCAAATGATTTCAGGTAAGGTCATTTTGCTGTCAAATGAATTACCAAAGGAAAATTAAAACCTTACAATTTTCAGAGTTCGGGGATTTGGAAATTTCAGGTAAAGGATTATGGACCTGTAAAAGCCCTCATTGCTGTTACTACTCAACATGAGACACACACTCCCTGCTATTAATACAGGATAATAATGCTGGCAGCAATGACTACCTGTGTAATGTTTCTCAAGAATAATTTGTCATTCCACTCTGTAGTAGTGAGGCAGTTCTTTGATTTGTAGTGTCACTGATGACAAGTCCTTCTCTTAAACTCATCAGCTGCTTTAAGTTACTGCTTAGCACTTAAGATGAATTTCTCTTCAGCATGGTGGATAGAAGGAATCCAGGAAGGGGAGTCAGGTCACCTGGATGTACTTGCCATTTAAGGGGCTGTGTGACCCTGCCTGTCTGGGCCTCTGGTTTCTCATCTGTAAAATGAGACAATAGGACTATAAAACTCAAGTATATATTACAAGGCACAGAGTAGCAACTTAATAAAAAATTACTGAATAGAAGAATCTAAATATATTTCTATTCTAAAACTCTATGAATTCATAATTTCTAATTCTAGCTTCCCAGGCTTTGGGGCAGGTTAGACAGTTGCACCAAGAAAGATTTTGTAAAGGCTACTTGTGAATCCTTAGGAGCTGAGGGATTTACAAATGCATGAGTGTGATTGAATCTGACTAAACTCTGTAAAAGAGGGTGTGGGAAGTCATGGCTAAATGCAACCAGCTTATGTACCTTAAGAGTCTTGTCGGTGTGTGTCCATACGTGTGTGTGTGCAAGAGAACTAATGTGTAAGGGCTCTGACGGAGGGAGTGTGGGAAACAGTGTCCAAATCATCTCTGAGTACGGTGACAGTGTAACAGTATACAGTGCACACCGAGCACTGCAGATATCCCCTGGGCGATGGCACTGGGATAGTCTGGTATCTCAATCCTTCAGGGTCAAAGCGTTGGTCCCCAAAGCAAAGGAAAAGACGATAATCTCCCAGTGATGGGGATGACTAACCACCCATTGGGACAGAAGTATAGGGAGAGATGGAAACTGAAGAAGAGGTGAAGGAGCAGAGTCTTCTTTGAAGACGGTGAACAATAATAGCTGCTGACCATACTAGATGTTAATGAGGTGCAGCCCTGATATCCTGTCCTGGGCTTTGCTGGGTGGCACCAGTGAGGGGAGCCAGTGTGTCTGGGCAGCTAGCAAGATGGCATTGCAGAGGAGGTGACTGGGCTCAGTTGTCTTCCACCACCAGCTTCCAGTCCTGCCAAGCACCAATGGCCAGGGACTTGGGGACCTGGGTCCACTCATCTCTGTGTAGGAGAAAAGTGGCCAAAGGCAAAGTAATGCTCAAGAAGGGCCGAACGCAGAGGATCAACTCATATAGGCTAGTGGTGATGGAGGCAGACTCTCCCCTCACCAGTTTTTTGAACAACAACAACAAAAAACTTGGGAAGAAAAGGAAATTATAGCAGGGGGGGCATCATAACCTTGATGTTGTTTGCAAAACTTTCTGCATATGTGCATTTCTTTGGGAGGGAAAGAAGGTCCATTGCTTTCTCTGAATCCATAAGGGAGTCTCTGGCCCCTAGAAAGCTCAGAACCACCCAGCCTCTGGGAGATAAAGTGGAGACCCTTTCTTTGTATATTATGTTCCTGCAACCTGAGTGGGGCTCATCCAGAATCACAGGCATATGAGAGCAGAGATGATCAGTTTTTTTTTTCTGTCCAAGCAATAATTCTATAGTTGGGCAAGTGTGCTTGTTAGAAGGGGCACATCATTCTGTACTAGTGCTGGTTTAGAATATATTAAAGAAATATAACATTGAAGCAAACTGAAGAATATAAACAGTGTGATCCCACTTGTGAACAAATATAAAGACGCTCTCAAATGTGTTTATGCTTACACTAGAGACCCGGTACACGAATTCGTGCATGAGGGGTGTGGGGGAGGGGGGGTGGGGATCACAGGAGGTTGGCCGGCAGGCCCCGATCTTGTTGTGTAGATGTGCTGAGGTAGCAGCAAGCAAATTCCACAGACAGAGCGCCCCAAAACGGCCTGAACACCAGCTACGCTCTGAGGTGGAAATACAGCTCTACTTTGCTTGCTGCGCTTGGGCCGCCTCACTCTCCCCGAAAGAGAGGTAGAGACATGCACATTTTCATGTACTTCAGTATTTGAATTTTTTTACAAGCGTGTTATTGCTTTGTAATAAAACATTGAAGAGTGATAGAAATAAAATAGTGGCTGTCACTTGACATATCATCAAAGGATTTAAAGAAGCTGCAGAGAGAGTTATATTTAATTAGTGACAATGAGGCTAAGGAAATTGCAAGAACTTCCTCCTTTTTTGTACTTCAAATTCAGGGTACAGTTTGCTCTCGTTACCAAAACACAGGACTTTCTCTAAGTGTAACTTGTTTTTACCTGGGGCCCCTCTGTTACCAAAACATAGGACTTTCTCTAAGTGTAACTTCTTTTTACCCAGGGCCCGCCCCTTAATTGTCCTGGAATACTCTCAAAGCCTATTATCCTTATGGTTCATCAGCTACTGTTTCTGATATGCCAAAACCTGGGAGAGGTAACACAATTTTTACAGTGTTTCAGTTTCTTTGCCAAACTAGCTGTACCAAATACTGAGGGTCAGGGCCAGAAGAGAAATATCTCTCACTCATAGTTAACTAGATTTCCTACACCAGATATCCAATGGCTACATAAGGATCCTACTGCTCCACACGTCTTTCACCCATGTGGGCATCCATGATATGTGCAGCTGGGCTGAGCTTAGGAGGTTCCATTGGGGCTACTAGCCCATTTCTTTTTTAAAACATATATTTTATTGATTTTTTACAGAGAGGAAGGGAGAGGAATAGAGAGTTAGAAATATCGATGAGAGAAACATCGATCAGCTGCCTCCTGCATACCCCTCACTGGGGATGTGCCTGCAACCAAGGTACATGCCCTTGACTGGAATTGAACCTGGGACCCTTTAGTTCGCAGGCCGACGCTCTATCCAC